GTTTAAGTTTGATTTAAAATGGGAAATTGAGGGTTTTTAGGTAGTTATCTTTAAGGTTGTTGGAGATAAGGTTAAATAAAAATCATTGGATAACTGTCAAGTAACTGTCAGACCTGCAACCCCACTACCAAATCATGGAAGAATAGTACCGGAAATCATGGAGGGAGGGTGACAGCACCGAAGCAAAGAAAAACCAGAATGAGAGATCAGTTACCAACCGGCCCAACACACAAACAGACTGCTGAGAGCATGTTTTTCAGCTTTCAGACTGCATTTTCCAGATTTCAGCAATAGTTTCCAGATTTTCCAGATTAGTTCATAGCCTTAGCCTAGGTTTGTTCATCTTTGTTCATATTTTCTCCCGCAAATTCCAATTTAGATTAGTTTTTAAGCATTTGGAAACAACTTAGCCTTCAAAACAGGTCTGCCCTTTTGATTCGGTTAGTTCTTCTTCCTTTTATGGATTTAGTTATGTTATTCATTCATGTAAATAGGTTGAATGTCCTCTACCTTTGTTCTTTTGTCTTTGCACAATATCCAGACATGCAGTTTGTTTAATTTCAATTTCCAGATTTAAATTTATAAGTTTCCAGACTTTAATCATTTCATAGTTTCTTCTTCAGTTTTAGTTATCATTATGGGCTGCGTAATTGAAATCATTGTCTGTTATTTTACTTTTTCTGTTGTCTGTGAATTTAATCTTTATGAGGGCGAAAATGATCCCATCACTTTTCTCCCAGTGTCACCTCTGGCAGAACGGTCCTATGGGAATCCAGTGTTTAAAGAGAAAGAAGCAGACCGTGGAGGTGACTTTGCTGAATCAAGCAATGTGTTTAGAGGTATGACTGAACGTCTGGATTTAGCATTCAAAGAACAGAACCAGGCTATGCGGAGACTTGTTGACAGTCAAACAGAATCTTCCAAACGTTAGGAAGAGTTAATTAGACAATGTATAGAAGAGATGAGATGGGATGGGTCTTTGAAGAAGGCACTAGGGTGATGCGAGAAACTGGGGAAGAAAGTCGTAGAACATTACAGGCTGTTTCAGAACAAGTGGTTGAGCAAGTGCGACAGCCCAGACCTGAGATTCCTCCTCCAGTCGTTGAAATGCCCAGACAGATTCAGGAAGCCCCAATCCCAACACTCAGGGGGCAAGGGAATCAGCCTCATCCTAACATTCAACAGCAGAATTTCTTCATGGGTGAAGGACAAAGACAACATGAACCAATGGAGGCTGCTGCTCCTGTTGCAGACCATGGCCATCAACATCAGCATAGGTATGTTCCGCCAGGTAGGAAGGGGAATGTGGGTCCTCATCATCAACCCTACCCAAGGGACTTTTTCCAGCCACAAGTTCCTCCAGCCCAGCCGGTACAGCACGGTCTACAGAATCAACCAGCTCAATTATTCAATAGAGATTAGCTAATAGATCTGGTACAAGAAACCTATGGACCAGCCTTGAGACCATTGGTGCGTCCAGCCTCTAGGAAGCCTTATCTAGACATCATTGATCATGAAAATCCTTTTCCAAGGGGTTTTAAAGTGCCTGAGTTCACTTTATTTTCTGGTGAGGTTGGTCAGTTCACTATTGAACACATTGGACGCTTCACAATACAGTGTGGAGAGGCGTCTGGAGATGATAACTTGAAACTCAAACTGTTCCCTAGCTCTTTGACTGGGACAGCCCTTACTTGGTACCTCGGTCTGCCTCAAAATTCAGTCTACTCTTGGAGGCAAATGGAGGACTTGTTTCATACTCAATTCTATCGATGTGAACCGGAAGTGTCTATGGCAGACTTGTCGAGGTTAGCCCAAAAGCCTGGAGAGTCGTCTGAGGCATTCCTTGTTAGGTTTCGGAGAGCCAGACTGAAATGTAGAGTTGCACTACCAGAACAGGAATTTGTCAAGCTCGCTCAGAATGGTTTGGACATTGAGCTCCGAAAGAAATTTGAGGGGATGAAATTCCAAGACTTCTATGAATTGTCTTATAAAGTGGCTCGGTATGAAAATCTGCTGAAAGAAGATGTTCAAAAGAAAGCTGCATCACATGGAACCTATTACAGTGACCCTAATTTTGATCTTGATATGGCTGAGGTGGTTATAGACAAGCCTGTTGTTTGTCTAGACCTTGTCAGACCAACTCACCAACCTGAGACGTCTATGAGACGTTATGTTGGTGAGGCTGGAAAATAGTATACTTTTGATGTGTCAAAAGCTAGTGATATATTCGACCACCTTAAAAAGAGTGGTCTGATTAAGCTGCCGTCGGGACATAAAATCCCGACAGCGGCTGAAATTGGAGCTAGAGATTATTGCAAATTTCATAATTCTTGGAAGCATTCTACTAATAATTGTCTTATTTGTCGTAATTTCTTGCAAGAAAAGATTAATAAGGGTATCTTGAAATTTCCAGACAAAGCGAAGGAAACCATGGGAGTGGATGCAGACCCTTTTCCAGCTGTGTCTGTCGGCGTGAATGTTGCAGACCTCAGGAGTGTTACCAGAAATCGTAGTCTGCCTTATGCTCAAAGGAACCTTGCTGCTGAAGACTTGAGGTGGGTGCTTGAGGCACAGAGATCCAGACATAGCAGGAGCGTCAGGTCAAACAAACAGAGACTTAGGGGGCAAGGAAGGATCACTATGACCAGGAACTTCAGTCCAAAAGGTGCCATACGTTACTCAACTGGTACCAGATCTCCAAGGATGGTCAAACCGCCACTTAAGTCACCTTCCAGACGGTGGGAGAAAGTCAGTCATCCTAAGTTTCCAGTCGAGAATCCCAGAACCATGAGGCTCAGACTGCAACGCAAGAGGGCTGAAGAGTGAAAAAGGCAACAGCAGCAGATGGAGGTTAAGGGAAGTTCATCTCGCAAACCGCACCAACCTATAAAAAGGAACATGGTGTGGGTGAGAAAAGAGAAAAAGGAGGCTGTAACCCAGACTCTACTTAAGGGGGATGACCAATCTCCAGCCTCTCCAAAGGTGGCGTCTGTCATTGTGAGTCCAGACGGGGTTTTGAAAACAACTTTTGAAGCACAAGAACAGTCTGGGAATCATGGAGCTGAATCAAAAGAAGATGGCATTATTCATTTTGGGGAATTCTCAGTGAATTTGTCATGTCTGGTGCTGACATTACCCTTGGTTTTCCAAGCCAAGAAGGAGGAGGAACCAATCGTCTGGGAGTTCCCAGAATAGACAGAAGAAGATGTAATCATTGTTCCAGCTCAGGATGATGAAGAGGAGAGCTGACAAAATTGTGTTTGAAAAACCGGAAGAAAAGATGGCCAGACACATTAGGCCACTTTATATCAATGCTCACATAGATGGGATTCCAATCAGCCATGTCTTAGTGGATAATGGAGCTGCAGTCAATGTCCTTCCAACTTGCATGCTCTACAAAATAGGCAAGTCTCTTGATCATTTAGTGCATACTGAGGTTACAATTAGTGATTTTACAAGAGGGGTGAATCGTTCAAGGGGTGTGCTGCTTGTTGAATTAACAGTGGGAAATAGGACACTGATGTCTGCGTTTTTTGTGGTGGATACTGTTGCTACTTACAATGCACTTTTGGGGCGTGACTGGATTCATTCAAGTTGGTGTGTCCCTTCTTCACTTCACCAGAAACTGATTTTCTGGAATGGTGGCAAGGCTGAGGTCGTGTCTGCAGATGATAAGTCTTTTTCAGCCAACACTCACCTGGTGGAGGCTAGATATTATGAAGAAGACATTGGTACCATTCAGTTTTTTGGGATGGATAGACATGGGAAACCGATTGGGATAACAGGATGCAGCAGACCCTTATTGTCTAAGCGTGTTGTAGAGGAAGTCTGTGATGAACTTCTTCGGCCAACAACAATAATTCCTTATAGGCCGAAGGGGAAACTAAAAATTGAAGAAATCTAATGAAGCAAGCTCGTCTAAGACAGGAAAGAGAAAAGGCCGTGTTGGAGATAACAAAGAAATTAGCGGCCTATTTTGCTGAAAAAGCAGTTCAAGTAGATAGGTTTGAAATTGTTCATGAAGGTGAGGAGGCAGACCGAGGTGATGAAATAACTTTGGAGGAGCTGGATTTGGCCTCAGCCAAATTGGATGATTTAAAAGCTGAAGTTCAAGACCTACTGGAGGAGATCAATCTAGGGTCTGAAAGTGAACCAAAGGTAACATTTATCAGCGGCTCCCTTGAGCCACAGACACGAGATCAAATTGTCAGACTTTTGCATGAATTTAAAGATTGTTTTGCTTGGGATTACTCAGAAATACCAGGTCTGGATCGAAAATTGATGGAACATAAATTGCCAATTGTAGAAGGATTCAGACCGTATAAACAGCCGCCCAGACGCATGTCTGCAGAGGTCACTTTGAAGGTGAAAGAAGAAATTGAGCGGCTGGTAAAAGCTGGGTTCATTTGGACATGCAGGTATGCAGACTGGTTGTCAAATGTAGTGCCTGTGTTGAAAAAGAATGGAAAGTTAAAAGTCTGTGTTGATTTTCAAAACTTGAATTTAGCTACACCAAAGGATGAGTATCCTATGCCAATTGCAGACTTGTTGGTTGATGGAGTAGCCTGTCACAAAATTCTATCTTTCATGGATGGCCATAGTGGGTACAACCAAATTTTTATTGCAGACGCAGACGTGCCTAAGACAGCCTTTCAATGCCCAGGTGCTGTTGGAACTTTTGAATGGGTTGTGATGCCATTTGGTCTGAAGAATGCTGGAGCTACTTACCAAAGAGCCATGAATGCAATTTTTCATGATATGATTGGTAAATTCATGGAAATCTATATTGATGATGTTGTGGTGAAGTCACATGGCGAAGCAGACCACCTAGTCCATTTGAGGAAGGCTTTTGAGAGGATGAGGCAACATGGCTTGAAAATGAACCCACTAAAGTGTGCCTTTGAAGTGTCTACGGGTAACTTCCTTGGGTACTTGGTGCATGAGCGTGGTCTAGAGGTTGACAAGAACAAAGCCAGGGTTGTGATTGAGGCGAAACCACCACAGAACAAGAAGGAGTTGCAAAGATTTCTTGGCCGAGTTAATTTTTTAAGACGGTTCATTTCTAACTTGGCTGGGAAAACCAGACTCTTTTCTCCTCTGTTGAAACTCAAGTCTGAGGCGGATTTTAAGTGGAAAGAGCACCACCAGTCTGCCTTTGACATTATAAAGTGGTACTTATCCAGACCACTAGTACTTGTACTGCCTGTGAAAAATAAGCCTTTAATTTTGTATATATCCGCCATAGACGAGTCCATAGGATGTCTGCTGGCGCAGGAAAATGATAAAAAACAGGAGCAGGCTGTGTATTACTTGAGTCGATGTTTGACCCAAATCGAAGTGAAATACTCTTCGGTCGAAAAGTTGTGTCTTGCTTTCTTTTTTGCTATAATAAAATTAAGACATTATTTGATTTATTCTGAGGTGTATGTGGTTGCCAAGACTGATATTGTTAAATATATGTTGTCCCGCCCTTTGTTAAGAGGCCAAATAGGTAAATGGATTTTGGCCTTGTCTGAATTTAATTTGAAGTATATACCACAGAAGGCTGTCAAAGGGCAGGCACTGGCAGACTTTCTTGCAAATCATCCATGTCTGGACATAGAAGCAGATGAAGAAAAAGGGATTAACTTGTTTTCAATAAGTTTAGTTCCCTAGAAACTTATTTTTGATGGATCTAGTACAGAAACCATGTCTGGAGCTGAAGTCGTGGTAATTTCCCCGTCTGGGCTAAAAACACAGATGTCTTTCCAGCTGGATTTTGATTGCACAAATAATCAAGCAGAATATGAAGCTTTGATTATTGGTCTTGAGATGTTGGTGGAGCTGAAAGTATCCATGGTTGAGGTTATAGGGGACTCACAACTAGTTTTGAAGCAATTGTCTGGTGAGTACAAATGCACTAGTCTTGCTTTAGCCCCTTATATTGCCTTGGCTGTGCAATTGTTGGAATAGTTTGATGACGTGTCTATCAGACACGTCTCTAGAGACCAGAACTATGAAGCTAATGAAATGGCCCAGATTGCTTCAGGTCTGCGAATTCCTTAAGGTGTGATGCAAAAAGTTGTAATAGTTGAAAAACGCAATCTGCCATCAATTCATCAACGTGGCACGACAGTCTCTACTTGCAGCATTGATGTTACCCAGACAGATTGGCGCTTTCCAATTATTCAGTACCTTAAGGATCAAAACAGTAAGGTATCTAGGAAAACCAAAATGCAAGCTCTCAATTATGTTTTGATTGAGGATGTGCTTTATAGGAGAGGCCATGATGAACTACTGCTGCGTTGTCTGGGTCCAGATGAAAGTTTCCAGATGCTGTCTGATGTCCATGATTGGATTTGTGGTCCACACCAGGTTGAGATCAAGATGCGCTAGCTAATTCGCAAACATGGTTTCTTCTAACCGTCTGTCCTGAAAGACTGTATTGCTTATGCTAAGGGCTACAAATCTTGTCAGATCCATGGGCCACTTCAAAGAGTTCCAGCCTCTGAACTTAATTCTATTGTGAAACCATGGCCATTTCGAGGCTGGGCTATTGACTTAATTGGTAAGGTGTATCCCCCTTCGTCAAAAGGTCATTCATTTATTATAGTGGCAACGGATTATTTTACCAAATGAGTGGAGGCTAAACTAATGAAGAAGGTAGACCAATCTGATGTGATCAAGTTCATCAAAGAGGACATTATTCACAGATTTGGTCTGCCATAAACAATTACAACAGACCAAGGCACAGTTTTTGTTAGCCATCAAGTGGAGGCATTTGCAAAGGAAATGGGTTTCCGTCTGTTAAATTCTAGTCCTCATTATGCACAAGCTAATGGGCAGGCGGAGGCTTCTAACAAGGTGGTGATTAATTTGCTTGAAAAAATGGTAGATGACAATCCCGGACGCTGGCATGAATTATTGTCTGAAACACTGTGGGCTTATAGAACTTCACAAAGGAGTTCAACCAAAATGACACCTTTTGCCTTGACATATGGCCATGACGCAGTCTTGCCAATGGAGCTAACAGCCAGGTCTTTAAGAGTGGTGATTCAGCATAATCTCCAGTCTGGAGAATACGATGAGGCCATGATGCTTGAGCTTGAGGACCTTGAAGACTCACGTTTGACAGCTTTGGACAGATTGCAAGCTCAAAAACTCAAAATTGCAAAATCTTACAACAAGAGAGTAAAAGGTAAAAATCTGGCAGTTGGTGACTTGGTCTGGAAAGCAATTTTACTTCTTGGCAAGAAAGATCACAGATTTGGGAAATGGTCTCCAAATTGGGAAGGACCATTTCGAATTCATGAAGTGTTGAGAGGGGGTGCTTATTGGTTGGAATCACTTGATGGAGAGCTTCATCCCAAAAAAATCAATGGAATTTATCTCAAGCCTTATTACCCCACAGTCTGGGAGGCAAGAGGTTTAGAGTCCCAAGAAGCTGTCTGAGCCAGGTTCATACTTCTGTCTGTGCATAAATAAGTTGATTTGCTTTCATGTGTTTATTCCAAAATGAGAGCAAGTTTGATCGAGCGGCCTTGACTGGCTATGGATGGCTGGATGCGCTCAGACAGAGTCAGCTGTGAAAAAGTTGGGAATACCTGCTGTAATTATCTTGGGATTTAGCAGATTTTGCACGTGACCTTTGGAGTCTGAAAGGTAATTTAAAATTTAAACACTTGGATTTATTCCCATAAAACCAAGTGTTGGGGGGCATTGTTTACACCTAAAATAAACCAATAGGGTAAAGCCACGTGTCAATGTAAAGCCCAATTATCAAGAAAATCAATAGGCTGGATTTGGGCTGGGCTGACTTACAATTTAATGGCCCAGACGGATTTCCAAGGAGGTTGGATTTTGGTTGGTAGAAGATAAGATTAGATCTGATGGTTTAAGTTTGATTTAAAATGGGAAATTGAGGGTTTTTAGGTAGTTATCTTTAAGGTTGTTGGAGATAAGGTTAAATAAAAATCATTGGATAACTATCAAGTAACTGCCAGACCTGCAACCCCACTACCAGATCATGGAGGAACAGTACTGGAAATCATGGAGGGAGGGTGACAGCACCGAAGCAAAGAAAAACCAGAAGGAGAGATCAGTTACCGGTCGGCCCAACACACACACAAACTGCCCAGAGCATGTTTTTCAGCTTTTAGACTGCATTTTCCAGAGTTCAGCAATAGTTTCCAGATTTTCCAGATTTTCCAGATTACTTCATAGCCTTAGCCTAGGTCTATTCATCTTTGTTCATATTTTCTTCTGCAAATTCCAATTTAGATTAGTTTTTAAACTTTTGGAAGCAACTTAGCCTTCAAAACAGGTCTGCCCTTTTGATTTGGTTAGTTCTTCTTTCTTTTATGGATTTAGTTATGTTATTTGTTCATGTAAATAGGATGAATGTTTTCTACCTTTGTTCTTTTGTTTCTGCACAATATCTAGACATGCAATTTGTTTAATTTCAATTTCCAGATTTAAATTTATAAGTTCCAGACTTTAATAATTTCATAGTTTCTTCTTTAGTTTTAGTAATCATTATGGGCTGCGTAGTTGAAATCATTGTCTGTTATTTTACTTTTTCTGTTGTTTGCGAATTTAATCTTTATGGCATGTTATTTTCTGTTATTTACTTCATGTTAGTTTAATTGCCTTAGGATATTGCATTTAATTTAGGATTTGTAGCTTTTATTTCACTTGTTTGGTTGTGAAGTCCTTGGAGGTTTCCAAGGCAATTAGTAACCCATTTTGCAGAACTCTACCCTTTGTTTTGCAGTATTGTCTGGGGCGCAATTCATTTCACAGACGTTCTTTCTAGCCATCCTATTGGAGGTCGACTGTTGGAAAAAAGAAGGGTCGTTTGGAAAATCTTATTTTCTTGTTTTTAGACAAAGCAAGTGGCACGCCTAATAACCAAAGTCACGTGGTAAAGGTCGGCTGAGGATTTTTGGGGAAACAACGGGTAAGGTTTGATTGAGTTATGGATTTGTTTGATTAAAAACCAAATCGAACTAATTTAAAACGATTTAGGCTTTAATTATTAAGTTTAAAAACTAAAAAACTAAAGATTAAGGTGAGTATAATAAAAAAATTCGAGCTAAAAACTTTTTATATTAATTTTTTTAATGATGTTTAGATTTTTAAAAGCTTTTCTAATCACTTTTCATAAAATTATTTCTTTATTTGGATAATTTTTAGTTTCTTTTTAATAATAAAAATTAATAAATAATAATTAAAAAATTCAAAAAAATCCCATAAATATAAAAAATAATTTTTTATATTAAAACTAAAATTAATCTGAATAGTTATTTTAAAAAATACAATCGAAACCAATAAAACTTTTTTCATTTGATTAATGGTTACTAAAATTTAAAACTTAAAATTTTGATTAACCAATAATTCAATTTCAATTAGGAAAATAATCTGGATACCCTCGATTTAACACATTTTTTTACACACTTATGGTTTAATTATTAAAAAGATTATATAAATATAGTCATTTTATGTGTATGATTGTATATTTAAATTTGTTTATCTTTAATTTCATATTAAAAAATAATAATTTTTTAATAAATATATTGTGCAATGTGTTGAACCGAATGTATATCAATTATTATCCTTTCAATTATAACTAAAATTGAACCGCACACCTCTAGTGACTTTAACTATAGGTGAATATATGTTAGATAATTCTATCAGGCCATCAGGGAATTTTCAGTTTGCTTCCAATATGAAGAGTAAAACTTTCTCTCCGTTGTTTGTTCTCCACCGCACTCATTTTTAATGTGTAAGCAATAGTTTCACTAATCTTTAGCTATAGTTTGAGTTTGAATACTATTTGCTGCTGTGGGAAATGAATATTCTGCGGAGTCTAGTAAGTGTTTCGTTAAATCCCTTGCACTAATTAGATATAATTTTCTGGATGGTTCGATCTTCTTTTTAATGAATAAGTTACAAGCCTTTTTTTATCAGCAAAACAAATAACTTTATTAAATAGAGTACAAGAGGTACTCCTACATTTATATAAATTGATTTATTCTCTCACAATACCAGCAAAAACACCAAAGAATCTTAAATAATACTCACAACCCATGTACTTATAAACAGAAGCAAAAATAAACAACCCAACAGAGTCACCAATGAAGCCCTTCAAACCTAACACTACTGCTTATGAAATAGTTTTAAACACCTCTTATACCTCTTCACAGCTATTGCACATTCTACCGGATTTAGTTGCCATTGAGAAAATGAAAAAACAGAACTATTTTATTCTTAATAATAATAATAATAATAATAATAATAATAATAATAAGACTTAACTTGAATCATTTCCAATGGTTGCTCCTTAAAATCCCCATCACTCCCAAACACCTCAACATTCCTCCAATACCATAAATACCAACCAACAACCAAAAAAAATGCATGCACTCACCTCTTTGCCAATTATCCTACCCAAGCTACACATGAAAGATTCAGCCACTCCCCACACTGTGTCTAGCAGTACAACCTCCAAACCCCACCAATTAAACACCTTCATCCACACTAACCAAGCTTCTTTATATGTACAAAACAAACGGTTTACTTCCTCCACCTCCTCTTTACACAAACCACACATCAACCCATCCCCCTGCAAATCCACCCCTCTTTTCTACAAATTCCATTTTGTGGGCAATCTATTAAGACACAATCTTTACCCAAAAAAATCCACTTGGAAGGCACTAGCTTGCACCAAATCAATTTACAAAACTAATCCTCAAGTAAACACTCCGTAAGAGCTAAAAAATCATAAGTTTTTTTCACCATATATTTGCCCTCTACATCATACTTCCATTTCCAACAATTCTTCACATCTTCCTTAATCTATATACTGTCTAGTACCTCCCACAACACCTACTCATCACCCTGTTCACACCATATTCACCCTCTTCTCCACTCCATATGCCATCTCTACCCTTCCCCCTCCCTTTTCCCCATCTCCCTAATCATTCCTTCGTTATTACCAGCTAGCTGAAATAGCCTAGGACAAAAATCCCTTAAAGATTTATCCTCCACCCAAATATCTCTCCAAAATCCCACTCAACTCCCCTCCCTTACCTCCCACCAAAACCCTCGCACCAACATATCCCTTAGCCTTAGTGATTTCCCACCTATACTTATGATATCTCCTCAAAGCTTAGACACCCTCAAATTCTACACTGCAGTAATATTTGCTTCTCGCCTACTGTCATAATATTTTTCCCACACCACCCGTTTCCATAAACTCTTCACACCATCACCTAATATATACCACCACTTTCCTAACAACACCCAATTTCTGCTACATAGATTCGGCACCCCTAAACCTCTTTTCATCTTACTATTGCAAAGAGACTCCCATTTAACCCATGAAATCTTCCTTTTAGCCTTATCATCCCCCTCACAAGAAATTCCTTTGAATAGAAATCAACTCAACAACCACAGAATTTGGCATTAAAAATAAAGACATATTAAAAATAGGTAAAGTAGAGAGTACTGAATTGAGCAAAGTGAGACGACCTCCAAAGGACAACAAAGCAGACTTCCAAAGGGCAAGCTTGGCACAAAATTTATTTACTACTGGATCCCACAACTTCTTACTTCTTGGACTTCCCACAATAGGCATATCCAAATAGATAAAAGGTATTTTTCCTACTCCACAACGCAAAACACCTGCTGCCTCTTTCAATTACCTCTCAAACACATTAAACCCACACATATTGCTTTTGCTAAAATTAATTCTCAGCACCGACATCATCTCAA